GGAGAGGCTAGAAGCTAAACGGACCTCCGTTGCCTGCTTAAGAAAGGTGCGTTGGGTCCGCAAGGGTCCACATCGCTTGGAGATCTTCACACAGCGCGAAGTCTCCTCCTCCTGGTGAGTTCTGTATCTCTCCAGGTTTCCTCTCTCTCCGACTTGGGTGGAAACTACCCAAGCCTTTTGTACGGCTAGCAAGCCAATAGCCAACCCCCACGTATGCCTACATTTAGAACCGGCCAATAATGTGGCACAAATCTAAATACAAATGGCGGGAACTCCTTTGCACCGTGCATCACTATGATGCAAAAGAAATGCACCATGCAAAGAAGGCTACAAACGGCGGGAAATACTCTTTTGCACGCGGGTTCTCCTATTGCAGCAGAAAACTCTACCGTACAAAAAAGCTGCAATTTGGCGGGAACATAATTTAGCAGTGCCGAAGCACACAAAAACAAAAAACCACAACTTTGGGTTGTGACAGCTGGTAATTGGACACAGTAATAGCCTGTTCAAAATGGTGCATTCTAATACAGGTAGGGCATAAGTAAGCATTCCATCTCTAGAAACAAACTATAAGTTTGCACCCATTTTTCATATCGTTAATATAGTACATTTGTAGACATGCACAAATGCACGGCATTTTTTAGATAGTAAAAAAAAGTTATGGCCTCTACCTCAAAGAAATTATAATTGGAACTAGAAAATAACAGATGAAAAAGGGATGCATCTTTTAAGAGTTCTTACTTACCCTGATATAGATAACTCTTTGAAAATAGTTTTTTGTTTTGGTATGGACCAATGATGGGTATGTGGATATATCCAGGAGACAGTGTATGCTGTAATATATAGCAGTAGTTACTGTGCTGCACAAATGGAGCAGATTGTTTATATTTCCTTAAATTAAAAAAGCAGAGAAAAGATTTATAGAGCAGAGAATCCATAAATCCATTGTGGGAACTTGTAAGCACCAAGGCATATTTTTAATGACCAGCATTGCAAAGATGAGTAATGGTCTTTTTGGTGTACTTAGCTAGCCAATATGCTATAGATTTCAGCGCATTCTAGTGCCGTTTTCTCATACTTAAAATCCTTTCCAAGGCCATTGATGGCTTTTTCTGAATTATCTTTGGGTCTTAAAAACAAACCTAAAGAAAACAGAACATTTATGCTGGATCCTGTTGAAATCACAGAGGTCTGATGTACCCTTTCTTTGGTTAATCAGGAGATACTGGCAGCTAAGATTTCTTAACTCTGGACAGATTACATCAAAAAAAGTAAACAGAGTTCAGTTTTTCTTCCCTCCTTTTGTACCACCATTAAATTCCAGTGGCAATGCTGTAACTTTCTACTGGAAAGGAAATATGGGTTATCAACAAAGGAAATTAAGATTGGAGATTGAGAGGAACTTTCTGACTATGAGGGTGGTCAGGCATTGGACCAGGCTACCTAGAGAAGTTGTATAATCTCCTGTACTTTCTAGAGCAGGTTAGACAGGCTTTTGGCAGGGATGGTTTAGTCAGGGATGCTCCTGCCTCCCTGAGCAGGAGGCTAGGCTAGACCACCTTATGAGGTCCCTTCCAGCCCTATGTCCCTATGATCATACTTTCCAAAAAATGGCAGCTTCTAAAAAAGGGAAAACAGCTGCCACCTCACTTGAAACATACCAACCTGCTGAATGTCTTAAATTGTGAGGTTCTGCTTTATAGCATTATCATTTAGGGGCTTTTTTAAGATTGTATAAACTGAGGGGAAAATTAGGTGTAGTCTTTGGTGCTTCTTTCAGTCCACTTGACCTAGAAATACTACTACCTGAACCTTGAGTCAGGTAGGTGATATCTTCAATTGGATCAACTACGTAGTTGGGAAGACAACCCTTTTAATGTAATACATTTTTCTTTAGGTCACTTGATTAGAACAAGTTGAGGATGTGATTTGCAGAATAATTATGTCAAACCTGGTATTGCCTGATTTCTTGGAGGGATACAAAAGAGGAGTATTTGCAGAAAAGGAAAATTTTGCTGCCACAGGTGAGGCATGAGAACTGTCATGTTCCCATTTGTGGCATGAACTGCACCATCCCAGTTCTCTGAATCATAACTTTGGGAAACATAGCTTTTGCACATGCACAGTGCTTTGACCATAGGGAGGTGAGAAGGGTTTCTATATATAAATATGTACTTTATAGTTGATTTAACTACTCTTTATGGATGATTCTCTATTCTTGCATCCTTCTGTAGTTTTCTTTGGTGCTCTAACAACTTGTTGGCATCCTGGTGAAATGTAACAGTGTATCTGTGATTCATTTGGGGTGGGTACACAGCACATTTTCTACATTGTAAGTTGACTTTCCATCAAAGTAAAAGTGGAGCAAATATACTACACACTGTCCTACTACACAGTAAATCATTTGAATATAGATAAAGTAACCACTTGCAAAATGTGTGGTATCTTACTGTAGAACATGTTGGGGTAATTTAATTCACAGTAATCATGTCAGGTGTCCATATCCTTAGAGGTGTCTCTTATCTTATAGCAGAAGTTTATAGCAGAAGTAAACTAATTGAGAACCAAGTTTTTATTTCTGTCCTTCCCATGTCAATACAAAATTAAGACTTACCTGTTTTAAACCACAATGAAAGGGAAAAAAAACACTGTACCCTATTGAATTAGTAGAATTTCTTTTAGATGCAGTAGAAGTCCCCATAGAGTGAACATCTGTACTGAACCAAACAGAGCACCAGTACATGCTTCCTCCCCATGACATGATGCCAAGCCAACAGCTTCATTCTTTTTCTTCAGTGATCACCCCCAGCGGTGATAGAGCAGCTCAGTCATCAGGGCTAGGGACAGAGATTATACATAAACCGGTTTAAGTGATCAGAAACTGGTGTAAACCTGTAACAGAACAGATGTTCAGTGCACATAAACCAGTTTGAAAATGGCTGAAACTGGTTTGAGATAAACCTGGTTGAATGTCATAATTGACTTAACTGATCTGGCTCAAATGAGTTTATGCAATGTCTGTCCCAGACCACTTGCTGGTTTAGGATAAATCAGACTCCCCCAGCACCCCAGCATGCTCTCTGGGCTACGTGGGGCTCTCCGCTCCACAGCAGGGCTCGTCCCACCCCTCTTCTCCCTAGCTGCAGCTCCAGAGACTGTAAGTTGCTCCCCACTTCCCCCTCACCACTCCATGCTAAGCAGGAATTCCCCCCTTCCCTCTGCCTTGCTGAGGAGGTGTCTGTATATTAGATAGCAGACCACATGCTGGCTATGGTTGGTGCTGAATCAACAGCTAGAATCAACAGGTAACTGTTAATGTCCCTCTGTTATCTTCTTAATAGGTTGATAAACACTGTTATCATTGCTGGGTTATCAGAGTGTCCTGCTGGGTCCTTGCTATGCCCCCCCGCCCCAAGCTCAGTACTGTGAAAGGGAAGGGAGGACTGCTTTAGCACCCCCCCAGCTTCTAGCCTGAGCCACTGCAGGCATGTGCCTGCATTTCAGGGATGTCTGTCTGGTTACAAAGCTGATTTAGCCTAGCCAGGTTGGACTAACCTGCAAAGAATGAATCAATTCAAGCTCGGGCTTTTTGAATGTCTGTCCCTAGCCCTTCAGGCCTCACAGTAATCAGTGTGGGTATCTTCTGTATGATACAGTATTTACTACGGCTTTGCTGTTATTTTGATGATTGTGACAATGAAAATTAGCATGTGAAAGGCCAGGAAGAGACAGATAAGCACTAATCAGAGCTCTCAGCTAATGTGCCTTACTTCAAGAATCACACTAGTACTTCTCTAGCATCCAGAAGAGGTAGAGAAAATACCTTGACATCAATCTAAAATAAGCCATCCTTCAAACTCTTAGTCCTACCTCTTGGATTCTCTGCTTTTTCCTCACACTGTCTCACAAGGTTTAGAATGGGAAGAGCAAAAAGAAAGAGAAAGAAGAAGGAATCACTGAGATGAAAGGGTGATTGAAATGGAAGCAGAGGGAAAATAGTACAATGGACAAGAATGGGATATAGGACTTCATTTCTGGCTAGTTTTG